GAAGGAAGGAAGGAAGGAAGGAATATGACTGTATAGGGTTATTGCTCTGTTTCCTACATTCCTCAAATTGTGGTTGAGCATTGTTATTACTTTCTATGGAGTAAATAATACTTCTTCCATTTTAGTTTCATGAGCCTTTAATCCTTCTGTATCATCAGGAAACATTGTTCCAAGTTATCCCTCTCCTCTCAACCAACAGACTTCTGACTAGGCAAAGCCCAGTATTATGTTCAGCCTAGAAGAATGAATGTGGAAAATCAGAGGGAAGAGGTGAGGCAAGTAATATTAAGTGTCATGGTCATTCTTTTTCAGGTGAAAGACTGAGGTAATTGAGGACACAGGAGGGGAATCCATGGGAGACCATGAGGAAAGAAAAAAAGGTTAAAAAAGAAATGATGATGGGAAAATAGGTGGTTGAGATATACTGGCTCATGTTCACCCACTGTTATCATAATGATAGATCAGCCCAAGGAATATAGTATCCAAGTGGATGAGATGAAAATGAACTAATTCTACTGGTGTTGCCGTACGCTGGATAATGTTTTTAAAAACATCCCAGTTTAAGTGTGTGGCAGTAAAGTCAGCATCAATCATCTCATCTATCTATCTCATCCAGGAAAGGGAACAAATCTTTCAGTTTTCCTAGATCACTCTCTTCCTTCTCAAGAATTTGGCTAGCGCTTCCTTCACCTGATCATTTCTGAGACAGTAGATTAGTGGGTTAAGCAGTGGAGTGCCAGCAGAATAGAAGAGGGTCACCACTTTGGTGACCTCCGCACGGCTTTCTCCATTGGGCCCGACATACATAGACATGACAGACCCATAGAACAGTGTCACCACTGCTAGCTGAGAAGACACTGTGGAGAAGCCTTTGATGTGTTTGCCTTGACCAGAACGTTTCACAAGAGTAAAGCCCACTCTTGCATAAGAGATCACAATGAACAGGAAGGTGGCCAGAACTACAGAAGCAACAGAGATGTGGCAGAAGCGTGGGATGTAACCTAGTGGGGGACATGCCAGGTCTAAAAGGGGACCAGGATCACATACAAAATGATCAATTGTGTTGGGGCCACAGAAGCTCAAGCGTGAGATTAAGAACACAGGTGTAATGTACCAAAGGATCCCAAGAACCCAACAAGTCAACACCAGGGCATAGCAGAAATCTCTGGACATCATTTGAGGGTAGTGCAATGGATGGCAGATGGCCATGTACCGATCCAAAGCCATGGCGGAGAGGAAGAAGCATTCAGTATTGCCGAGGGAAAAGAAGGCGTAAAACTGGAGGAAGCAGGCATGAAAGGAGATGACTCCATAATGGAAGAACAGGTCAAAGAGCATTCATGGTACAGTGGCACTTACGTAGCATATTCTCCAGCCGCGTAAAACTGGAGGAAGCAGGCATGAAAGATGACTCCATAATGGAAGAACAGATCAAAGAGCATTCGTGGTACAGTGACACTTACGTAGCATATCTCCAGCAAGGAGAAGTTGCTCAGCAGGATGTACATGGGGAGTTGGGCCAAGCAGGTATTTTCAGTGACTAGCATGATGACGATCAAGTTCTCCGCCAAAGTCAGGATGTAAGCTGTGAAGAAAATGAAAAGAAGGAGCCGTCCCCGTTCCCCAACTCTGAAGCCAAGCAGAACAAATTCGTGCACTGTGGTTTCATTGAGCAACTCCATGTGGGCAATGCACAAAAACAATCCATGGAAAATGCTATTCTTCCATTGTCTAACAGTAATCAAAGATGTTTTGCCTGATGTTTGTTTTCAGTGTAACAGCCGTTGACATATTGCACATTAAAAGTCACATAGAGCTTGCAGCTGCTGCTCCTACCTGGCTTTCTTTTTTAAATAAAAACTGCCTTTGATAATTTGGTAATAACTTATAAAAAGTCAAAAATCAGTAGTGGCAACAGTAACATGCTTGCCTTTATTGGTAAGAAATGTAAGATGACTTCACCTGTTTCTTTTCTTAACTAAATCCACGAATGCATGTTGAAATTCATGAAGCAATAATGCGTGCTCTGAAGTGTCAAAACCTCTCCATATTCTTGGCTTTAATGAGCTGTACTTAATGCATCTGATTAGGAATGCTTGCTAAAGAAAGACCAAGTGTGATACTGCAATATGACAGAGGCCATAGGTGTTTACAACACCTGAGCAACCAGGAGGCAACAGATCCTCTAAAAGTCTCTCCCGAACCCATTTACTTTTGGAATAACTCTGTATTTCTGTACCTTAGTAGCATACCAGTCCAACAAGGCAGGGTTAAGGTGCCAACAGAATGCTGCCATCATCTGAGATTTGTGTTTCTATCTACACTCTGATTTGTATGCTGGCAGATTGATTGTGTCTTCTGTACAGAATGTGGGTTGTGTTTTAAGAGGCTGCACTGAAGCGTTCACCCACCATGCGAATGGCTCTTGGGATCTGGCCTATAGAGGGTGGATCTGTTTTCCATGAGAACAAGTTCTTTGGAGATCAATTGCTACTCACTGGAGAGCTAGCCATTTACAAAATCTTTGTGGTCCTTTGTTCCAAATCCTTCCTGTGAGTAGGTTGAGAGGCTATTGAGTTTTGGTTCTAGAACAGCCTTTCCCAACCTGATATCCTCCAATTATGTTAGGTTGTAACTCATCATTTCTTGCCAACATGGCCATTCCACACTTCTTCTTACTGAAAGTGCACAACCATGCTTATAGACCACAAACATCTCTTTTGATGAGAGTTAGACAGGGAAGGAATCTCGGTGATATTACGTTTTTGGTGGATTTATCACTCCCAATATTTAAACAATAGCGAGTGAAATTCTAGGTGAAAACAAGCAAGCAAAGCTGTCATGACTGGCTTCGAGCGAGCTGCTTCTTTTTTCATATCAGTTCTCATCTTTAAAATGGGTATCAACTGGCTGCATTTGACTAGATATTTGTGCAACTCTGGTGTCCCTTTTTAGAGTTTCATATCAGGGCTTTACTCAGGAATCCTGGTGTGTATGGTTTATTGCAGCAGTCTCCAAACTTTTTCAGTCCGCAGACCGGCTGGGGAAGGCAGGGCACCCCCCGCGCTCATGCACATGCACATGCACAAACAAGCACTCTCTCACACGAGTGCCCATGGAAATGTGCAAGTGCACTCGCGCGCATGTACAAATGGCAGTGGCGTGCTCGCACAGGGGGGCATGCTCGTGTGCATGTACAAATGGGCATGGTGCTTGTCTGGGCATGCTTGTGCTTGTGTACATGCGCAAACGGTGACGCGGTGCTCGCATGGGCGTGCTGGAGTGCCCATGCAGGCACAAACAGGCTGTGTGGGGGTGAGTGTGTGGGGGGAGTAGGACGGGAAGTCTGTCTCAGTGGCCCGGTCCAGCTCAGGCCACGGACCAGCACCGGGCCTCAGACCGGTGGTTGGGGACCTCTGGTTTATTGGATACAAGAGATTGTGTACTAATTCCGTTTTCTGGTCTCAGAATTTTGGTAGAAAACGAATTTAACCAGAAAAAATTCTACAGACCTGAAAGTCTGTCCACACAGGTATGACACAATTACGCTATTAGGATTGAGTGCTTGTGCAATTGTGGGAGGATGATTGTTGTATGGGTACTAGAGCACTGTGTAGCCTGGAATAGAGAGGATATCTGTAAACAGAATCCAAGAATTAGTGTGATGGGGGCATGTAATTTATTGCTAAATGTGATTCCTCTCTGTTTCCCACTAACCAAAGAGGCTATGAATCCAGACAAGATGGATACAGCTTAAGTTCACTGCGGGGACTTAACACCAAAATGGAGAGTGGGAAGCTACTTCCCAGCTCCGAGTAGGCTGGTGGCAAAGGTACGTGATCTCCACAGGTTCAGGAACCAAACATCTCCTGTTATGTTTCAGGGAACCAAGTGCTGGACTATGACCTCAATGTCTATCCGATTCATTGCCTGTGCATCGAGCTGGAAAATCTTGTGCAAGTAATTCATCACCTTAAATAGCAAGGGAAGGCAGAAACAGGTTATCAAGACAGTCCAAGGGGTAAAGCATTCAAAGGAATCCAGGAAAACCAAGGATGGGCACAAACAGGAGGATTTAATGACTTACCCCTCACAAACGA